CCCGCCCCGCCCGTGTTCTGCCCAGCGCTCCCTCTCCCCGCTCCGCCCACGTTCCGCCCAACGCTCCCTCTCCCCGCTCCGCCCACCTTCCACCCAGCGCTCCCTCTCCCCGCTCCGCCCACCTTCCGCCCAGCGCTCCCTCTCCCCGCTGCGCCCAGCTCTGCACATATTCGTCCCTATGAAATTACAATTAATGAGGATGCAACAAAACTCACTGATCAAAAAGTGAAATTCTCTGACTGGTCAGAGGTCAGTCCCATCAAAACTGTCTGTTCACTGAGTCTGGGTCAGAGGAGGCTTCGACAGCACCTCTCTATGTTAGGACACGTGTTGGAGCAGATTTCTACAATAATATTTGGATAAAATTACTGTAGCTTTAACTTAACTAAAGCCTGTAAGTGCTGAAGCTGCAAACCTCAGCATCCAGTCTGCACTATGGTAGTTTTAGTGACCAGGCTGCAGTAAAAATGGTCAGTGTGATTCAACAGGAGGTGGATGTAGGTTATTCCTGTAGTAAACAGTTGTCATGCTCTGATTAACACACACTTTTCAGTGTCGAGGATTGTAAACAGAAGTGTTTTCAGGGTGGTTAGGGGGCTACACCCAGACACACCTGGTCGTCTGTCAGTGTTTTACACCGTCCCTGTCTCCCTCAGTGTTGGAGTCCTGGCTGGACTACTCTGGCGATCTCGAGCCTCCTGATCCTTTGTCCCGACTCCCGCAGCTCAAACAGCGAATCCGGCGGCTGCTGCGTGACCTGTGCACTGTCAGACACCTATCAGTCTGCCACTGACCCTTTTCACTCCTTCATCTGGGACCCCTGACCTTTGACCCTGCTGGTCACTGCTAACTACTCGCAACAGACAGACAGACGGACTGATTGGCGAGGCTAGCACGTGACTACACGGACTTGTGGAGCAGCTGAAAACTGGTTTGTTTCCATATGGTCACAGGACGGTGCCCCCGGTGGAGAAGAGGTACACTGCAGTTTGCAGGGGAGGATGACGTTTCTTTTATAAAGTGACTGAACAGCTGATTTTGTAGTTAAATTTCACAAAGGTACAAGAAGATTTCACAGACTGCCTCGAGCAGCATGCCACACGTCTTCATCCACACAGCTGAACATGACGCAGGTTTGATCGCTGATTGATTTCTTTGGCTTCTGATCAGCTGCTTTCTGAGTCACAAGAATATGTGTTGTCTTAACATCAGACAACAGCTGAGCTTAGACTGAATTTTAAAACATATTGCACATTGTTTCCTAGCAGGTTTCCAAGCTGACAAACCTCCTGTTATATGACACAGCTTCCACACACACAACATGAGGATTTACAGTGATGCTTTTGTTACTTTGACATTTCTCAATGTCTGGAGGTATTAAAATGTTACTAATTCATTTTTAACACAAAACATTCTCCGAGGGTTTTAAGGTCACAGCAGAAAGTACTGCAGCACAGTAGCCACTAACACACCAGCTGTGCTAGCGCTCCTCTCTTTTGGCTTCTTTGTTGTGTCAGAACTGCTCCATTTATGCCCCGTGCCTCCCCCCCCCCCACATTATTTCACATCATTTCATTCTGTAAAGAATTAAAAAATAGCTCCAACTAGTTTGCTAACTGCTAATTAGCATCAACTGTCAGTTAACAAGCTTATTAGCTTGGGTGCTAATGTGACAGTAGCATCACACAATGGATTTAAAAGACATACAGCAGGTCGTCCTCACACAGAGGAGGTTCATCAAACCTCTGATTCAGACTTTAGCTGTTCACTCAAAGGTTTCTGTGTCAGGACGGTGTGCTGTTGGTCAACGGCACAGATTAGTTTCAGTGGTCACAAAAGTTGAACTTAAAAAATGTTCAGAGTTAATCCAGTTTAGCAAGAGAATGCAAATGGCGAGATTAATGCATTGTATGTGAGGTGTGTTACTTTCAGTTCAGTCCGGTCACACCTGAACCAGGACGTCCCTCTGAGGACTCACCACAGCCGGAGCGAGATCACTGACGGTGTAATAAACCGTGATGTCACCATGTAAATATGTCTATTTGAATGTTTTATACACTTGTACAAGAAGCAAACTGTATAAAGCTGTAGATTTATTTTGATAGAAACAAATCTAAAATGGTTTATTAGGTGAAATTGGAGATTTCAGAGAAAAGACCAACTATTACAAGAAAAGGTTTGTCAGATTATCACAATTTGCAGCTTTTCTCAAAATCTGACTTGTCTTGAAATGATCATATTTTTTCTTGTAATGTTACCATTTTTTCAAAGTGACAATTTTGTCCTCAAAAACTTTGTTGTTATTTGTTTCGTTCATAATGGCCCCTGTCCTCGAATCAGTTCCCCAGTTAACTCTGACATGTTTGGCTGAAGAACAGTGAGCTTCTGGTTCGTCTCTTCACTTAGTGTCCTTTATTTCCAAAGCCTGAACAGACACTTTGTCTGAGGAATTCTGGCTTTGATTGAAATGATAAAATTCCAGTTGCTGTGTGGTTGTGTGTGTGTCACATTCAGCTCATCTGTGTAAAACTTTGCCCAGAAACAGAAACTTCCAGAGCTGGAGTCAGGATTTTAGAAACAGGGAGGTCAAGAGTCCAGATTCCCCAACAGAACCCACCTCAGAAACATTTATTCTTGTTTTGTTCATGCTTTCTGTAAAGGGTCTCCCTTGACGTTATGCTCTGCTGTCACATATGTAATAGTGAATACTAAATACTAAATATTCATTTTAATTGTATTTTTCTCCCTAAATGTAATCAAGTACACAAAATATCAACATTTTCCTGAAAACACCTGTGTCCAACTATATGTAAACAGCTCTTCATGAGATTTAAAGTCATGTTTCATTTCATTTTAACTAAAAACTAATTTGTTTTAACATGTTAAGTTTGTTGAATACATCCTTATTTTGCAGGAATTGGACTCAAACCTCGTGTCTGTCTGATTATATATTTACTCCATAGACCTGCACCGTCACAGATGACCATGAATATACTCACTAAGGAAAAGTCCAGACTGCATCAGACCGACTCTTTCCTTCGTTTCCAGCCCGTCAGTTTTTACTTTGTTTTGAAGTCATTGAGAGCGTGTTCAGAAAAACAGACACACAACAGAGTAGAATCCATTAGCTCAGGATGCAGTCACTTTATGTCCTTTACAAAACAACATCTTGTAGTCAAACGTAATTTAAGACATAAACATCACCACAAACAGGAGACCGAGGCCCTCCCTGGTCAGATGAGGACTCTGGGTCTGTCTGATGTCACATATTCCCTGTGTTCATGTCACTGATGTGTAAAAACCTACTGATGATTCCTTTTCTGGACCTCACACACTGTTGAGTCAAACACAACGCTTTTGTGCAGGTAAGTTTTCCTTTGATGGGCATGTTGGTGTTCACTTGTGTTTTACCCTGTGTACAGGATTTGTGTTGTGCTGCGGGTGGATCCGGTCACACAGATGGTCTTGCTGTGTGTTCACAGCACACTCCCATATGTCCTGTGTGTGTTACCGTAGCTCCTCCCCTACACAGCACACTTCACCGAGCAAAAGCCTAAATATGGATTTTCTATTTGTTTCAGCCATGTCAGGGCTGTGGCTGTTTGGACGTCGGTGTCCGTCAGCCAGACGGAGTCCAGAGTGAAATATCTTATGGTTCAACAGCTTATTGTACATTGGACCATAATTCAAACCAAGATCAGCAAACAAACATGAATGTCAGCAACTGATTTCCACAGAAAGAATTTATAATAGGAGTAAAAAATTAATACAAACACAAAGAAGTTTAAAATGAGGGAAGTCAGAACCCAAACAAAAGCATACAATTCAGCATTAAATTGAAAAACTGTGTAAGATAAAGAGTAGAATAACAATATTTAGGTCTTGATGAAACAAAAGTTGGGATTAGTGTCTCCATCAGACAGACTGGCCATCTGTGATCAGATTGTTCAGATGTGTAACAAATGTTAACACTTTATGTCTTTGTGTTGAGGGACAAAGTTATATATTTTACATTTAGGCATGAAGTGGTACAGCTACAGGGTTTTCATCACAGCATACTAATGCTATACATAAAATACAGCTGAGCCTGGTGGGAATGTCTTTAGGTTTGTAGGTATTTGGTCATAAACCAAAGCTTTGGCCTGCTGCTGCTGGAACAAAGGTCAGTATGATTCGCCCTCTGGGCACCATGAGTGTCTGCACAAGCTTCAGGAGATAATTCAGTCTGGACCAACAGAGAAAGGGTTAATGAGCTGTGTAATTAGGAGGGCTTTTTTGGTAATGATGAGCTTTGGCATCCAGAACAGTTCCAAGCATAAAACAGTTTCACAAATGGACTAGTGCAGCTTTTGTGTTTGGCTCCTCATGTCTGTGACTGTGCACAAACCGAACATTGCTATTAAAATACTGCCGACCGGTCTGGGAGGCCTGTTCTTCACTGTTCCTGTGTGACCACCTACAAACAGTTTCCCCAAAACAACCACTTACCTCAACCGCTGTTAAACACCAAGAACAACACATGAGTAAAGTTAATTAGAAATCACAGTTTCTATTCTGGAACATGTCACATAATACAAGTTCACATTGCCACAAAAGATACCACAGATTTGTTTTTAATTTGAAACACTGCCAGTATTGTTGCATATTTCTTTTCTCTTCCTGCCAGAAAACTCAAATCCAACCCAAAAAGTCCCATCTGGCTTCATCGCGAGTTAACCTGCCAACACTCCCACATGAATGTGGACTCTACAAACCAAAGTTGACTTTGTGCCTCACAGAGAGGAGGCAGGGGGGTGGACAAAGTGCCTCACAGAGAGGAGGCAGGGGGGGTGTAACTGCTGAGATGTACTGTACAGACAAAATGAAAGGTATTTATATGTAACTGCTGAGATGTACAGACAAAATGAAAGGTATTTATATGTACTGCACACAGGGTCGACTCTTCTGTACCGAGGTCCATGTTAAAAACACAAAGGAGTTCTTTAATGAGGCCCAACAGTAAATCTTTTTATCATTAACTTGTTGGAACAAGCTACACCAGAGTGTTACCAACATGAGCTGTACAAGATAGTTGAAGCTTTAATAGCTCCAAAATACTAACAATAACCACTCAAATCAGTTTCAGAACTTCTCTTAACAACTTCACATAACACACAACAGTTCACACTTTCTTATGTCATCTTTTCTCAAAATCTGGTTAAAACCTTCATAAACCACTTAACAGTGCGAGTTAGGATCTTGGTACCCTGTCTCTAGAATCCCCAAAGACTCTTCATCGGGATGATAAAATATTCAGTCCACTGAGTGATTATAAGAATTTGAACTTGTTTCCCAGGTTGTGACTCTTTCCAAAACAAAACAAAGATCGCAGCCTGCCAAACTACTGGATAGGAAGCTGAGCCAACTTGCTAAACATTATTGTGCAGCAGATTAAATGTTTTAGCCAGATGGTAAGAAGAGTCTCTGAAAATATTGCTAGGTATTTTGAAATGTGTTCTGGGTTTTTTCCAATATCACCAGTTAATTAACTTTTAGAAAAACTGATGGTTCCCTGTGTGATCTGAATGTATGCCGATATACAGTATGTAGGACACAAACTGGGGCTACAGAACTCATGGCTACGCCCCTGGATAGTGGTAGACACGAACTTAATAAAGTGAAGAAACTAATTATATAAGACAGTGACAAAAAGTTAGAACAATAATCTCCTGGTTTACATTTTTACTTGAAACAATAACAGATCATTTTCCCATAATGTCAGAGTATTCTGCTGTGAGTTCCGTGTTTGGCCACGTGACCGCGGAACCTGTTATTTTGTTTGACGTAGCCCCGCCCCTCTCTGTCCGCGTGCAGCAGGGTTCAGTGAGAGAGAAGGCTCGCGAGCAGTCCCGCTCCAGCAGTCACCGGTTAACCAAGCAGCTGACTAGTTGTTGGATTAAAGGGTTAACTGACCCAGCTACAGGAGCTACCTGCTGACGGTGAGTAGCTAACAGTAACGTCATTTCGGTTCAGTGGTAACTGACACCAGCCTGTTAACGGCCGGTTGGCTAATTAGCCAGGTAACGGTCAAGTGAGCCTTTACACCAATGATGTATGTGCGTCAGTAATACATGAACCAAGTTACCTGGGATAACACGGCAGGTGTCAGCGCCGTGGGACGCCGTCTTCGATGGCGATGGTCTGTTTGGTTCCAGGTGTGTGCGTATGGACATGTGTGGCTGTCTCGGCGAGGACCAGTTTGTGCTTTACATAGTGGAGTGAGGACATGTCCACTTCCTGGCACACTGTCAAAGACGGTTTAGGGTTGTGGGTAGACATCTAACTAGTTATGATGGTTAAGGGTAGGGGGCTAGGAGATGCGTTATGTTAATGAGTGTCCTCACAAAGATAGGACTACCGTTATAAACTAACCTGGTCTCCGTGGTAACGGTTGCTCGCTGTCTTGAGCTAAGCTACATTAGCATCCCGGCTCGTTAAATGCACGGTGGTTGACTTGAACAGGCTCATCTGTAGATTCTAGGTCTTTGTTTTGTGTGTGTGTGGGCGGACAGACAGCAGAGCCAACAGCACCAGTACGATCAGTTCAGTTCAGCACAGAAATCCAACCTAAGATCTGAGCAGAGCCCCCCTCCCCCAGAAAAAGGCTCCCAGAGAAGATTCCCCAGTCATGCTGTTTTTCCTTCCAACCTGCACTATTCAATATACAAAGAGCCTGTTTACATGTCTCTGCCTTATGTTGTGGGGCCGGTGGGGGCCACACTTCCCAGGGTTGTGTTCATCTTATTTTGCCAAAGACAAGTGCACAAAAACATCCACAGGGCCGCTCCTGCACACATGCTCTCTGCATCTTCCCTGAGTGAAGCTATGGCACATTAGCAATACAAAAGGAAAGATGAAATATGAATTAACATAAATGAAGAAAAAGCCAAAATCCTTTTTAGAACATAACATGAACAGTCGTGTATAACCCCACAGATGGATGTAAAGCTGCGACAAAACACTGTGTTGATGTTGCATAAACATGGGGCTACAACTAGTAATCACTTTACTTATCGATTAACCTGCTGACACTGTCCTTCAATAATCATTTAATTGTTTAAGTTAAGAAATGTTTTTAACAGTTGAAGGCTGAAGCCAAAGAATATTTGGTATTTTTGCTTTAAAAGTAACTGAAGTGATTGATTAGATGATGAAATTGTCATTAAACAGCTTGTGGTTGCAGCCCTACGTTAACATTCTGGATATGGCGTTTACATGCAGTATAGAAACCAGGTTACAGCAGGTTTCTGGAGTTGTAGTAAATGGCAAAGTGCGGGTGACACTGATGGACGACTGCGCTCCTTCCACCGTGTTACCTGTGTCGAACGTGTTCTCGTAATTTCTGGACTTGTAGTAAATGGCAAAGTGCAGGTGACACTGATGGACGACTGAGCTCCTTCCACCGTGCTACCTGTGTCGAACGTGTTCTCGTAATTTGAAAAAGAAAAGACTAATATAAAGATATTTCACAGTGTGAAATTTATTATGCATTAACGTATCAAAATAAGCATGTGCACATGGATCTTGACTGTTTAGGAAAAACAGAAAAGACTGACTCCAACTTGGCGGTATACAATATTTGTATGAAAAGATGTTACTATCTGATTGGTCCATGGTGTTGGGGAGCAGTTGTGGTTTAAACTTAACTCTCCCGAGATTGGTCCTTCAATCCGTCCATCCTCCAATCATCCTCTCTGCTCCAATGGTCATGGACAGCGCCCTAAAAATGGAGGAATACCTATACTGTCTTAATTCCTACATAGACACTTATGTCTTCCTTTGTTTCCAAGGAACTGCTACATTTTAGACATTTCTCTCCTGTTCCAATAAAACCGCTCTGCCTGTGTGTCTGTATATGGTCCTGCCTTTGAAGTTGTCTTCCTCTTCCTGACTTTTAGATCTAGTCTCTTGTTTATTACCCTTGGTGTCCCAGTGACCCCAAATTCCCTGGCCTCTTCAGCCAGGTGGTGATAATAAATTAACTGTGGACCCTCTTTGCTAAAGCTGCTCTGAGAGGGTGGTGCATCATGAAATGCTGCTGATTATTCTCCATCAACATTTGCTCTTCTCACCTGGTTACATTCACGTCCCAGATCAACACAGCCTGGCTACTGTAGCTTCAGTGGGGTCAGGACACTAGTGTGTGTTGTGGGCGTCCATTGGCAGCGACTTCCTTTAGCATTTGTCCTAAAGGGGAACTACTGTCCATAATGTCAACAATATTTAATTGGTTGACCAGCTGTTTCTGATCACTGTCCATAATGTCAGCAATACTTAATTGGTTGACCAGCTGTTTCTGATCTCCATCTTCAACAGCAGCCAAATAAAATGATGTCATTAGCTCCCATAAAGCCGTGCACAGAAAACATGTAAACAACGCTCTCGTGTCACAGTTGAATAGTTTTAACTTAAATGACTGGCACAGTGTAACACTGACCGTCTGTGTGTGTGTGTGTGTGTCTGGAAGCACGTCTTCTGAAGGTGACTGGCAGGTCCTGTGATGGAGGAGCTTCACGACGTCCAGCTGACTGAGATCAAACCTCTCCTGACAGAACAGGTGGGAGCCAATGGCTAATGTCACAGAGTCCAGTTGACGAGTAGCTGCCCTGCAGCATAATCAGCTGAGTTAAAACCAAAACCACAGCTTATTTATTTTGACAAATACAGTTGGTCTGAATAATTAATCCTAGAAAATTGCACTTAAAAATAAAAACTTTTCTTCAGTGTTTAAAGGGAATTGTTTCGTAACTGGCTCGAGTTGGTCCATGTGAAATTCCCAAGTATAGTTCTCTGTATTTATTGACACAAATATAAAAATTGTCAACAAAATATTTGTAATTTTTGGAAAAATCTGTCACAGTAATGACCTAAAGCAATGAGGGATCATGACTGAAAGGTTTGTCTCTGTCTCTTCAGAGCGGGAGAAACCTGCAGGACTTTGACTGTCAGGTAAGTTTGTTCAACACGGATTAGAAAAGGGATTCATCAGCATGTTACTGGGTTTGAAGGAGGAAATTTATTATGTAAATCAGTGTTTTAAAATCTGAACTGTCATGTAAGTAATGTATAAAAGTTCTCTGAAGGGAAGCATGATGGGTATTGTAGTAGGAACAGAGGCTTGGTGAATTCTCAGTTGAAACGGCGTCAGCACAGTGTCTTTCTCAGCCTGATTCAGGGAAGCTTGTGCGTTTGTCTCCTGCAGGTTTCTGTTTATGGACCTCCAGCCGAAACAAGGTCATAGATTGCAGCTTATCCAGAGCATAGTTTGAACCAGGACCAGAAACATTGGACCACATGACCCCGGTCCTCAGAAACCTCCACCATTTGTCCTCCAGCTTTACTAAGTACTGGGCATGTTTAAAGTCTGGTGAGACAGCAGTTAGCACTTATCTGCCCAGACAGTGGAACATTTGACCTGCTGATCTTTTAAAAGTAAATTTAAAACAAGATGTCTCAACACATGGTCTGAACAGTGAGGGAGACAAACTGTAATTAGGAAGCCCCATGGATGTCTCAGGTGGCTCACATAGAATCTGTTAATCTGGTTTTGTGAGATTTAATCCTCTGGGTCAGAGGAGGAAGGGTGGATGAGGGCAGAGGAGAGGACAGAGGCATGATGGGAGCAGTGAGGGGTGGAAGAAGGCAGCGATTTGTTTAGAGCTGAGGGTCACGCGGCTCTCAACGGCTCTGCTGAGATTGTCTTGATCCAGTCACATGGCCTCCACTACTTTGTTCCTTCACCGGGCTAAAGGACAACAACGAGGCTGATCTCGTCTCTTTCTTCTGTTTCTACCGACTCCGCTGTCGCTTTCTTCTCCTTCCTGCTTCTCGGTGTTTATGAATCCCTGACTTTTCTTCTCCTCCTGAAAACTGTTGTCGTCCTCACTGCCTGTGTCAGCATGTCTGTCTGTCTGGATTTGAACCAGATCTCCTGCTCTTTAGGAGTGGAGGTGGTGAGTTTAGCCAGTTGGCTGCCTGCTCTGGTGCTACTACAGTAGCTCACAGAAGTTTATCTGCACACACACTGTTAGTGGTTTGTACCTGCTCACCTGTGTTTTCTGCTTCAGCAGCGTCAGTTGAATTTTATTTGTAGGACTTTCTATTGAAGTTCACTCTGGAAAAGGAGTAGTAGTATGTTTGGTTAAAAGTGATGAAAGTGTCCATGTTGTCCACAGATTCATCTCCATCTATTGTTCGAGTCCACCTGAGGTTCCAGTCTTGTAAAGATTTACAGAGATACTGGGTGAACGTATTTTGTGACTGTGTTTGAACTTTCATCTCTGACGCCTCTTCAACGAGCAGCCTCACCAAAACGTTGTGTTGCTTTCTGGGAATAGTTAGTCTGCACTTGAGAAATTCATAGTTAATTTTAGAAACCAATCCAAGCATTTGCAGGTATGCACATGCATGTGAGAGCAGAGGAGACGGGTGCAGCTTAAGACCCATTAATAGGACATCTGTTTCCATGGTCAGTTCATTAATGGATTAGTTGACAGAAACATACGGAGCCCTTCATCTTTGGCCATGTTTCTGTGAGCGTGCTTAGAGACAAAGTGGACACAGAGGTGTAACAGCTGGAGACAAAACCACTATGATGAACTGTAACGGAAACAGACTGTGGGAATAAATCACAGTGCACATGAAGCATGTGACATCCACGTGCACTGACGCTTCCACTGGATCTGAGTGGAAGAGTGAGCGCATGAATCAAAGAGTTGGTGGGTTTGGTTTGTTTGAGCTCTGTGTCCTGCTCCCCTGCAGCTCCATCAGCTGTTACCTCCATCAGCCAACCTGTCATGGCAGCAGTGGATGGAAAGGAGCATTAAGTTTGTGCATTCACTTGAAGTTGTACCTGATTTCTAAACGACTGGTGCCACTGAGCCACCTCCCAAAACGAAGGTGGTGTGGGTTCATGAGCATGGTCGTGTTCCTCTTGTGCACTTTCATCTGCCTGTTGGCCATGAAGATGAAGTGGCTGATTCCCACATGTCCGGTTTCTAAACAAATAAAGGTGGTTTGTCAGTTGTGAGCAGCTGCAGCCCGGGGACTGGCCGTTGTCTTTACCCATGTTAAAGAACAGAAACCCCACTGCCCCTGGTGCACCGTCACCTAGCTGAGTGTTACTCCACCCCTGAGGCTCATGCTGTACTGTTTGTTTTGGATGATGTGTATGTGTTGTTCAGGAGCACGATGTGGAGACAGCCCACGGCGTGCTGCACGTTACCATGAGGGGAGTTGCTAAGGGCAACCGGCCCACAATCCTCACCTACCATGACATTGGACTGAACCGTGAGTAAACATGCACTTGCATCATTACAGTCATCGCACAGCGCATGTAGAACAGCTACAGGACGGAGACACAAAACTAACTGTGTGTGTGTGTGTGTGTGTGTGTAGATAAGTCTTGTTTCAACAGCCTGTTTAACTACGAGGACATGCAGGAAATCACACAACATTTCTCAGTTCTGCATGTTGATGCTCCAGGACAACAGGAGAACGCTGCCATATTCCCCATAGGGTAACACACAGACACACACTAAATAACACAACACACCCTCACCATCCTCTGTTGGGTACAAACACACATGCATGTGAGTCCTCTACCATTTTCCACTGGGTAACACACACCAGTGATCCCCCCCCCCCATGGGATTTGTTGTTGCAGACAGAGCTGTTGTGTTGAAACTCAAATGTGTGTGTGTGTGTGTGTGTGTGTGCAGGTACCAGTACCCCACCATGGACGAGCTGGCTGAGATGCTGCCACCTGTCCTGACACAACTCCAGTAAGTCTGTTGTCTTAAATGAGCGCATGATGCATGATGGGTATTGGAGTAGGAACATCAGAAGCATTACCCAGGCTGGAAGGATTGTGATGGGTCCTTCCAGCAGACAAAGGCAGGTGTACAGTAGTCCTAAACTCAGCTGACTATCAGACCAGAGTTTCTGACCTCCTCAGTGAC